TACATATGTGTGCGCGCCCACGCACACTGGAATGTTTATTGCAATCGACCAAAAATTTGATGTAGTTTGGATATTGACATTCAGTTTTTTTTCTTTGTTTCTTAAATATAATCAGTATCAGTAAAAGTGTTATTTTTACCGGTACAAGTTTAACAAACATGAGTAATAAACAAATTACATGCCAATAGCATCGCTTTATCTCCTTCATTTTTGTTTGAAATAGAAAAGTACTTTAACGGTCAAACTCATTAGTCCAAGGCAATATCAAAAAGTACCTAATAACTACGGCGATAGAATTTAATTACATGTGCTTCGATATTAAAATTAAAAAGTTTAAATATCAAAAAAAAATAGTGGCTTGGGATTTGAACCGCCGACCTTACGTACCAACGGCGGCGAACGGTAAGGCCACGAGACCAAACTAGCATATATGATGACAAACTTAAATTTGATGTTGGTTTTCTCTACCTAATATCTGTCATCCGCGTCGAACACTTTTAGTAAATTGTGAAAAATGGTTTGATGCAAAGTGTCAAATGAATGTAACAGAAGTAGTTTATTCCAAATTGTATCACAAGTACATAGAGATAGAGTTCAATTTTGTCAAATGTACCGATATTTTTGCGCACCTTGACTGCTTCGTTACTTATGACGCTGTGGCTGCTACGATATTTATGAGCATCTTGCATGTACTCATATATTTGACGCTGTGTATGTACCGATGTATTTGAGCAGGGTGAATGTATCTATTATTTTGAGGACTTTTGTTGTACCGATATAATTGAATACTTTTGGTGTACCTATATATTTGCATATCTTGTCTGTGACGATCTATATGACGCTGACTGTACCTTAACCTAAATCACAACAATTAATTTTAATACATTCAATATTCGTTCGAAACATTTTGGAAAATATCAGTACAACATCGATTTCAAACTTTACAAAGCCAGTCTTCTTCTCAACAGTTCCGCGAGGTGATCAGCAGAAGACATACGGCCTCACACAAATGGGACATCTGTCGGATGTAGCGAGGCACCTGCGCAGACAGTCTGCGTGGAAATAGTGCGCGCACGGCGTCACACGAGCCGACTTCATGCTACCCAAACAAACGGCACACACGTCCTCCAGGGTCGACAGTTCCTCGGGTGTCGCCCGTCGGAACTTCGCCAAAGAATCACACGCCTCGTTCATTTTCACCAAAGCCTCTCCTAATCTATGCCTTCCGTGCATAAATACACACACGTACAGAACGAGAATAGACAATCGCCATCGCTCGCACCACGCCAGCGCTGGCACCAATGGCAAAGCCAATGCTGTGGTCACACCTCGAGCCCAAACTCCACAATATAATGCCTCCATACCCTCCAATTTCTCCAGTTTCATAGCTGATAAAGCAATAGGCCATAGTTCCAGGAAAGTTCTCTCAGTCAACAAATAATATGTACCAGTTATAGCCGTGTATAGAGCCGTGGGTCGAAAGTGTTCCAATCCTTGTTCTAGACCTAAAGTAAGGAGGATAAACGTGATTGTGACAATGAATGTTACGGCTTTGGTCCACTCCAGAACAATCTTCGTGGCGGACATGGCGAGGTGCTTGACGCGAGAGTGGCGTGTGACATTGACATAGGGCGACCAGTCCTCCTTGGTGCAGATCTCGCGCACGTAGCTGACGGAATAGGTGATGACATTGTAGAACATGAGAGAGTAGAGGCAGGTCAGTCGGCCCTGGGACACCAACAACTTATCGCAGGCGGTGAACACCAATAACTGAGAAAAAAACATATTCAGTTTAGAAAAGGTATCTTTGCATAAATATAGCATTTTCCACACCTTACAAAATGCACTAAATGATAATGATCTTAAAGTTCAAAAAAATATCCTGTTATTAAATCTTTTTAACGGAAAAGGAAGAATAAATGTCTCTTTTTGTAATGTCCATTTCTATGTTAATTAAAGAATAGGCAACGTATCTCTAACTCATTTTATTTACACATGCTACTTTCATTTTTAAATTATAAATGGCAATATAAGTATATGTACCTGGCATATCATAGTGGACAAGTTGTTCATCTGCAGGAACAGACGTTCAGCGCGCTCGATCGGTGCATACGCAGTCTGCAATACGCCCAGCAAACATGCACTGGGGGCACGTAGTCTACGAGCTACTTCTGAAACCAAAATGCTGTATGAAAGTCACACTATTACTTGACATTATAAAATGCATATAAGTTTTCAGGGCTTATTTTTGAAACCTGTTTCTTCGTTAAGAGAAAGTTGGTGGTCAATTTCCCATATTTGTTTCTAATTCGAGAAACAGTTGAGTGGTACTCGCTGTTCACAGCTAAAGAAAAAGGTAAGTTTTATTGGAAACTAGCTGTCGCCCGCGACACCGTCCGTGTGGATATATAAAAAACTTAATTAGTGTAGCCCAGTCATCCATCCGTCCTAAAGCAGCTCTTCAAGGCTTAAATTAAAATAAAAGTATCCCATGTCCGCCTCCTGGCTCTAAGCTACCTCCTCACCAATTTTCAGCCATATCGGTAAAGACGTTCTTGAGTTATAAATAGTGTAACTAACACGACTTTATTTTATATATATAGATAGATAGATAGATAAGTATACGGTCGACTATGAAAAGACAAAATCTATAGGTGTAGAAACGAACTACAATTATAGTTGCAGACATTATCAATATTATTTAATTCTTTTACTTAATAAAAAAAATGTCTTATGGTTATGGTTAAGTTCTGGGGACAGCGTCCGTGGGCGATGAAGACCTGTCGTATCTCATCTATTTATTTTCCCGTTTCATAGAATTTTTTTACTCATTTGCATTAAATATTTTTTCTTACTTTTTGATGGCAAGCATTCAACAATAATGATCATTGATAATTACTTACATTAAGTTGTAATAACAATTAAAAGTTTTATTAGAATTAATTTTAAAAGTTGCCTGAAACAACTTTTCGGGGGTCATATCTATACAAAATTTATTGTCAAGAGAGATTTAAGAAAAGTTTTTTTTAATCTAAGGGAAGTGCTACGCCTTATACACTTGTGCGAAACAATTATCTAAGTTTTTTTAAGTCGATTGATGAATGTTAAGGCAGTGTAAACGCACTCTTAAACTTTACCTATAGGTACTAATAGGTAGTTCTATTTACCAGACTGGTACAGAGTTTCTATATCATGTTTAGTGAAATTTATTTCCTAGTTTATTTTGAGCGATTATAAAAGAAATAAGTTGGATTTCAATTAATAAATCAAAGGGTTGTAAATAATCTATTGCATAAAGCTATCCTTCGGTCAACTTCTGTTGTTCAGGGGATGATTTTCTTAGGAGGATCTTTTGTATAAAAGGACCACCCTTGCCTTAGAGAAATCAGTTCAGTCCATCCTTTCATATCAAGCAACAAGAAATTCCACCAATTTATCTGGTAAGTAAGCTAATAGTTTTAGAGGTAATTTTATTATTTTTCTATTAGATTTCCAATGATTTATTGTTGCAATTTTCCCAAATTACATAACTGTTAACACTCACAACTTGTGAATCTCATTTTAAATTTGCCCAAAAAGGCGGGCTTTTGGTGCCAAATTCCTTTTAAAACAATAGAAGATACTAATAAAAATCGCTTTTAGACAAGAAATAATCTGACTTATCAATTAGACCGCAAAGAAGGATCGATTTAAAACGTTTAAAATTGGAACGAGGCATTTTTCTCCGGATCTTCCCGTCAGAAAGCTAAGAGTTCAGTACATCATGAATTTTACACAACAAAAGAAATCGCCGAATAAATCGTACGACCACATGTTTTTGTTTAGACACAAAATGTATGTATGTAGTATTTAATGACGCACAGCGGCTGGAAGGTGGCCAGCTTCCGTCGCCTCATTCAGCTCCGTTCCGACAATGACCTGAAAAATTGCGGGATCGCGTATAAACAAATCGGACGATCTATCTGCAAACATCGATCGCCGTTTTAGCTGCATTTCATTACTTGTTTATACTGTCCGTGCATATACTGACGCAAGCTTCATTTTATTAACAACTCCACTCTCATCGTCCATTCTTGGTTAGCTTGGCTTGGGTTGTCAGGTAGCCAAACTTAATAGCCGAACAGACCAGCCAGTTTGGCCGGAGATTTGGGTAAAAAAGCCAGAGACCCTAAATTATCGAGTATTTCCCTAAATTATTGAGGCGCTCGGCTACGTAAAATGCGAAATGTAAAGAGCCTAAAAAAGCCGGACAATCTGGACACTGTTTATTTTGGCTAGACACGCAATCAAAAAGCCTACCTGTGTCCGGCGATGTTCGGACGCCAGGCAACGCTACTTGGGTAGAGAGAGATTAATAAAAAATATAGATGTAAATTATCATAAAATTAATCATATCACTTCTTATTTGGTTTTTCAACAAAAATGTACGCACCAATGCCATGCTAGTGCATTTCTAAATATATTTCTTTTCGTTTTATGTGAATTATTTCATTCTACAGATGCAACGTATTATTTATTATCTGGACAGTTATGATTTAAATAAACGTATATGTTATCTATTTGAACGAAGTGAAAGTTTGGCTCTAGCATCATAATAAACTACGTCTCATAATTATTTGTTGTTTATAAAAATGTGGTGCAATCAAATTATTAGCGTAGTGCTCCATTTCTTGTTTATTTACGTTTAGAAATCCTTCTACGCGTCATATTTGCCATAATTTTTGGCTAGAATTTTAAAATAACTTTAATATTAACTGAAAAATTGCATATTTAACGTGTTTTGATTTTAGAATATTAAAAGTACTAACGTAACAGTTAATGTCCACTGTCTATATATAGTCTTAATAATCTACTTGAACATTTTTTATTTTTGTAGAATAGCAATTTTGACAAACTAAAAGTGTTTACATGTTTTCTTTACTATTATTTTAGACTAGATAAGTATATTACGCGTAGTGTAGGTGTGGTCGTATGCGTTCTTTCTCGGCATCGTCTTCTATAATTCACTATAATTCCCACAGTTAACAAATAAAACATAAATAAGTCTTTTAATTCAATAATCATTTCAATTTTAATGGATAAGTTTTGGGTTGGATAAGCTTTATGGCGTTATGTTTTCGCCTCACAATGACGCGGCCTCTACCTCTTAAAACGTCAAGTTCTTACGTCAAAAAAATCTTAGTGAAAACTTTTATAAGTCGTCTTATGAGACGCACATGTGTGATATTTCACTACCAAGCAATTTACTCCGCGTTGAAAGAATATAACTTTAATTGTCGACGACAAAGTTATTTCCGATCTCCTTAATTAGTTGCTTTACGTTGAAAGATTAATGTCTGGTTCACGCAGAGTGCATTATTTTAAGATTTAGGAAGTAATAGGCATGTGTTGTATATACTCACGCAATTTCGGGAGTCCTAAAAAGTACCTAATAACAGTCCGTTCAGCAATGATACTAGTAGAAAGTTATCAATCTAGAATCTTCTCGTTTGCTTTAACCTAGCTTAGGTTATAAAGGATGTCCTTCAACAATTCTACGCTAGTTTATAACTACTACCAATAGTACACACATTGTTAAAATTCAGTCGGAACAAACGGACAACTAGATACTTTAAATTACATATTTACCTTGTGCTAGCTTCGCCACAGCGGGGTACCATCTCGCAGGGTATCTGTAGTTTGCGGATATTAGTACTGGTACTACAAGACATGTGTATGCGGCCATTAGCCACGCGCCTCCCAACGCAACGAAAAGACCTCTTGGTGCCCAATACGGCAGCAACAGGACCACAGATAGCAGCCACACTAAAACAAATATTTTACAATTAATGGTCATATCAAATTAAGACCATTGTTTCGTCTTTCAATTATGATTGATGAAAATTAAGTTATTTATTCACTGACTAGCTTTTTCCCGCAATTTCGTTCGCACGGAATTAAATACCCTTAATTATTAGTCTATGCGTTCTTTCAGACTATGTTCTACATCCATGCCATTTCATCAAGATTCGTTGTGCCGGTTTGGAAATACTTTCTAACAAACAGCTATCCATTTAAGCTTTCGGATTTATAATATTAGTAAGATTCGATAACTTGTATAAATCTACAATAACAGCACGGCTCCGGACAATCGAGAAAACATTTTTCATCAACGAATATTAATCGCTCTGGTTCTACATTTATTATTAGGAAATTTAGCAAATAAACTTGGTTAAGATTAAATATATAAAATCAATCTAAAAAGGGCGTTGTTTAACTACAATTTATTCTATAATCATTCTTGAAAATTGTTAGCCGAAGCTTCTTAAAGTACCCTCAACTGTAGAGAATGGAACTTAAACCTGTCATTGATAACTAGCCATGCTATCACTGAGTTTCTCGATGCATTATCGTTATTAATAGATGGAGTTTGTATTCAAAGTATATAAACAATAGAACACATAAGCCTGTCTCAAAATAAACACACCTTGAAATAGTCACAAAGTCAAAACATTTTTTAATTTCTAATAACAACTACAATGAGACGATGAAAAGAAAGTAATTATATTTTGTAATAGTAGCTAAATATGAAAACATAATTCATATAAATTGTTGGGTTCTATTAGAAAATATTATATTTTATAAATACATACCAATATTAGCGATTTTATCTTCCGATTTCATCGTATGAATCTTCGAGAAAGAGTCACTCCTTATGCGGCCTCGAACGCGCGAAATCATACCCATGATTTGAAATTTAAACTTACAATAGTTGTTTAATTATTTTCACTTCACACAATTGATGCAATTAGAAAGTTTATAACAAAAAAATATGTTTAAATTCTCCTTAATAATATTATTTTCTTGAAAGATACTGTATCGTACGACGTCTGAAAAACGAATGCGTACACGATTTGTTTGGGCGGGCGTCGGCGCATGCGCAGACGAACGCATTTTATGTTTTCTTTGTACGTGCCAATTGAAGTAAATTATTTTTAAATCCGACAACCGACATCAACCACGTATGAATATAATATTTGATACAAAAAAATCTTAATTCCAGTTAAAGACCACATGGGACGTTAAACATTTTATTGATATAAGTACGTCATATTTCATGTCAATGACCGGAAGTACAGCGGTACCTGAATTTTTTAAACCACTATATAGTAATGTACTTTATTTACGAATTATATTAAGAATGTATTTGAAATGCTTTAATACGAGAATTAAATGTTTCGACATTTTAGCAGGTGCTTTGACTTAAGGAATTTCAACTGATTCTGCACTCCATTAAACAAATATGCGAACAAGATATTTGTATTCTATGATTTATCTCTATATCGCAAAGCATATGTATTTATGGTATTCGTAATTCATACTATTGTGATTTGTCATCAAATTTACAAATAAATCGTTTACGTGTGGACAGTCACGTTGGGCGTATAGGAATAACAAGAATGCTCTGTTTCCACTGTCGGTCACGAAAACATAGATATTGTTATCTCTGTTTTACTAAGGGAAATGTGCGAGATGACAATACCCGCTTACGGATATTTTATTCATGAAAACCTACCTTAAATTATGAAAACGTTTCAGTGAATACACCTACGACAATGATTATTTAAAAATAATAAACGGTTTCCATTGAATGTTTATTTCATATTTTTTACTTGTTTTTCGTTATTGACATGTTAATGGTTCACCGGATATTCGTGTTGATCACATAATATGACGCGAGAACAGACTTTGTACCATTTCAAAGATTTTCGATGGATCTAATTTTAGTATGCTTACTAGTTCATTCATAAACATCTACGTATTCGGTCCAATTAAGACTATATTGTTGACTAAATAATAAAAAGTGAAATTATTTAAAATTTTCGAATTCCTTTTGCATAAATAATCTTACACTTATAAGAAAAGAGTAAATACTCTTGATGACACTCCTTGTTCATTTTTATGTTTTTGTCATCTTCATATGTGAGCAGTTATGACATACTCACTCTTCTGCACTTCGTGGCAGGCGCCTCCTGTACTTGTGGAATTTTGCTGTCCTGGGGAAGGGCAGCTGCCTGCATAGAATATTGAAAAATGTAAAATAGACATAAAAGTTACTTTGAATAAGACCATACTATTGGTAGCTGACCCCATCCCCCTTCCCCTTTAAATAAAACTCTGTATTAACCGTCAATTTAAAAAATATTTAACATTTTAAGAAAATCATCTCGGGTGGCGCCTAATATCATTTTTTGTATTTATTTACAATTTGCGTTCTCCACCTCCGTATAAAACTAATTATAGATTTTCAGCCAGATCGATGACCGGTATACAAAAAAAATATATTGGCTTCGTCATATATTTATTTATTTCCCAAAAGAAGGGTTTCTTTGGGAGGAATTTAAAATAAACATTGGTGATCAACATGGTGTCTTCCAATATAGACAATATGATCACATAGAAAAGAATTTGCATGTAAAAGAATAGAATACATCGTTAATTTGAATAAAGTTATAACTAAAATAAAATTACAACTTTATCTTTAAAACAAATCATTTTTACCCTAGAACTCCAAGCATCATGCATCTACTAGCATACATCCTGTTTTTCGCCGCCACATCCTGCTGCCTGGCTCACTACAGGGGAGGGTATGAAAGCCACAGAATGTTCGAGAGGGATGAACTTCACGAAGACGTAGATGGGTAAGATTAAGTTACTTGTAAGTTTGTACTAGCTTTTGCTCTGCTGTACACAATTGAAAAAAAAAGGTGAAAAGTCCGTAAACATTTCCGGTATTATAGGTAACATATGGGGCCTTCCAGACTGTATTCTACATACATACTTTCCAAATGTTATCGAGATCCATGCAGACGTTCTAGAGATTGTAAGATTTGTAAGATACCTTCTTACAAACAGCCAAATATGCGCATTTATAATATAAATCGTTGCTATCGACCAAAACACAGCAATTATGCATTTATAATATTTTGCTATTCAATTATTCAAGGCGTTCTAGTTTTATAAAATAGATTCAAATTTTAACAAATTTCAATTTTTCTCTTTTCTGACAGAGTCTTAGTTGAGTGCCCAGTTTGCGAGAGTAACGGTGTATTGCCCACACACGAACATTGCAACATCATCAGAGGAAACAAGAAATACAAGAAATGCGAATTTGGTACATATAAGAACGAAGTCTGCGGCAACCGACGTGATTGCTACAGGGTATGATGAACTAAGTCAATTTTACTATCGTCAACTTGTATCAGTCTACAGCTGGATAGAATAATTCTCCTTTGCCAAAATATAAAGGAGGCATAAATCGTACATAATCCCACCGAGGATACCACTGCCGTGACACTTATACTCTGCCATATTGTGGTTTCTGTTTAGTTAAAAATAATGAAAGTAATGTAAATGTACGTGCCGTCACAAGTGCCACGGCAGTGGAATTCAACGGTTAGTAGATATGTGTTGTTTATTTCAGGGCCCTGCAGAACAGTGTACTGAAAAAATGCAGGTGGATGTCTATGGTCAGAAATGCGCTTACGGCTACTACTGCGACAACCTATACAATGTTTGCGTGGGATTGGACTACAGCGTCGAGAGGCCTTTTGGAATCTATAACCACCTTTATCAGTACCCGCTTCGTGACGATAAGCTGATTGTGTAAGAAGTTAAGAAGCAAAAGCTGTCAAATTATACCACCGAACATATTAATAATATTAATTTATTTTTACTTTACTGGGATAAGTTGGTTATTTATATGCTTATTAACAAAATAAAGCTTTAACACTACTTACACTAACTTTCATTACTACCTGGAGACGATGTACTAACCCTTTTATATGCCTAACCATAAATATAGCATGTACTTGAGCAAGCAATTGATTTATAACTTATAACCTGACCATACTGTTTAAATTGATACATCCAAACTGATATCAACACATTAAGTATATAGTAAATTAAGCTACATGTCATAACATCATGGGGGATATTTTTATGGAATTTCGAATTTGTGAAAATGGCAACATCAAAACCGTGCAGCTGCTCCAACCGGTATAATAGCAACTACTATCCTCATTACCAATTTAGCTAAAATCAAATAGGCACAAAATACTGCAAAATACCTCGAATTAATGCCTGCCCATGGATCTATTTCCAGGATTTTATTCTTTTTTATGCTCTTTGATGGCCTTGTAGAAAAATAGATCAATTCCAAATAAAATATGACTTAAAGGTCTATGTTACCAGATCATAAAATTAAAAAAGATAAAAAAAAAATAGATCAATAACAAGATGGTACGTTCTTTGAATAAATTCCTCAGATTGTCTTTGGTGAGGGGTTTCCGTTATCCTAATTTTACCAATGTCGTGTTCCAATCCAATGATCAATGAAACTGTTCACATAATAAAAACAACTTGCTATTTCCACTCGCAGTGTTGAGAAAAGCAGTTGCATATTAAATGTATTCCATTTAAAAATCAATAACTTCGTTAAATTGAAGGTCATCTGACATCTCTTTCATTTCCATAGCTCATTCGTCATTGATAATCGTGTCGTATTTAAATCAATAAAGTGGACGGTGGAATTGTTGACAATAAACTGGACCAGTTTTAGGGGTAAGTAGTGAATACACTATTGGGTTTGATTCATTGTATTAAATATATATTGTAATAAAATAAGTAAAAATTTTGCATGAGAATCCAGATTCACTCACATATCCTTGACAAAGAGATGTTATTGTCCTGTAATTGATAACGTTTGATAATTAAAATACTACATTTACTCGACGACAAACATAAATATTAATAGTTGCGAATTGTTACAGGAAAAATGTTTTGCAACGTATGTGGTGTAGTTGACGATTACTACGACGAAGATGCCCTAGTAGATCATAACAACACACCCAAACATATTAGTAACAAGATCCTAGAAGCTTATAAGCAGAAGAAGTTAGTGGTATTTTTTTATATTTTAGTACATAAAGTCATAGTACACAATTACATCTTGTATTTATGTATTTTTTTAATCTTCTAGTATGAAATCCAAAGTTCATTAAATATGCATCATTTGTTTTTCCTGGTTGTTAATATTTTAGTATTATTATCATTATAAACATTAGTTATCATTGCAAATGCAAATAGTTACTGAAAATAAGTATATTCATCGGGCATTTGTATAAAGGATATATTACTATATTCATCTTACAATTATAGGTAAATTTTGAGTGTAAATGTTTTAGAACAATTAAACCCAATTTAGGGTTGACTAAGCCATAGTCAGCCATGCTGGCTCAGTGTGGGTGGGTTGATTTCATACTTATTTTTGAATTTCTATTGTCTTTTAAGTTGCTTACCTAAAATACTTGTACCCCTGACTATTGTATAGTGTTGAATATGCTATTGTCACACCATTTTTGGATTTAACATTCTAAAGCCTACCAAATATTCAAAAGTTTATTGCTATGAAGATGGAATATCATGAGCAAAGGCCACTGTACTTACTATTTTTTAATTTTATTCCAACAGAAGAAACTTTGCTAAAAATCGGGATGGAGTTATCATCCTTGGTAGAGGTGAGAGTCTGGGTAAACCTGGTGCTGTTAGAACTAAGGTTGAAGATACAGATCATCAAAAAATTAGGATTAGTGTAAGATATTACTTTTTTTTGCACATTATTATTTTTTTTTTACTAATTTGTTCTTTCAGATTATGTTCTGCATTTATGCCAAATTACAGCAAGGTCAATACAGCCATTATTGAGATACCTTCAACCAAACATCTGTCCATCCATCCATCCATCCATCCATCGAAATATTTGAATTTATATCTTATTAAGATTGAAATTTTATATTTACCTTTTTGCGCTTTAGAAAATTATTTATTATTTAAACATTTTAGGCCAAGCCATCGCAACCTGTAAAATTTTCATTTAGCATGACTAATGATATGAAAAATGAAGATTTGCTGATATTTGGGATACAATTAGCACATCCACAGCCACAGTTTTCGATATGTGATCATCCATATATATTTGGGGAAGAACCAAATATATTGGAAAAAAGTTAGTAACATAGTTCAATATACATAATTATTAACTGTTTAAAATGTTTATCATCTTTATATATATAATTCTTCTGTGAGTGTGTATGTCACTGAACTTCTCTCAAACGACTGGACCGATTTTGATGAAATTTTTTGTGTGTGTTCAAGGGGATCTGGGAATGGTTTAGATTCACAATTTTCATCAAATATTAACTTCATATTAATTTATTCAAATTAAAGACGTGTAGACAGGACAATGTCTGTCGGGTCCGCTAGTTATCATTATAAATTGTATAAATTGCAATATATGAAATCTAATTGTACATAAATAATTTATATGTTACATTTATTACAGAGACAACAATAAATAACAAGGTGTCTGTAACATTTGCTGCTTCGGATATTGGGACATACGAGATGCCTATTATGTTCACATTTCATAGACGAAGTGATGAAAAAAACATAATAATAATTCGAGAAATGGTAACGATTTTATTCATTAATAAATACATTGGAACAATTAGATTTATTTATTCATACTAGACCCGATGATTACCATTATAATTATGTTATGTTGTTGATAAATTATTTTAATATTGGTTTCAACTGTGACATCACTTGCATTGTCGTCCTTTTTATTCTCATTGAAAGGATAAAGATAACAATATGTTTTTAGACAGTGGACACCTACATTTATAAATTTAAAATCGAAACTGGATAAATGAGAAACCTTTATTAACGAGAAAAATATTGCGGTCCCGCTCATCCTGGTTTGAAGGATTTTAAAGGATTTAAACATTATTTCAATTGTATTTTGTTAGATTAAATATCTGTTTATTTGTACTATATAATTATATGTGGATATACCAGTTTTTATTCATATTTTTCTATTGGTAGGTTGTCTCAGTGTTTGAAGAGGAAAGTATTCATCTGTTTACTCGGAGTCCTTTCACCAATGAAGTCTGGGTGACTGCAGATACGGTTTTATCATGTACAGGTCTTTTGTGAGTATAACATATTATTCTTAAAACTATTATATGGTAGATATTAAATACAGGTTTATAAAAGTTTTACTAATTAATTTTGCTTTATGCCAGTGACGAATAATTTTAATTGGAGTTTTTTTTTTATATATAAAACCTTTGCAGACCTTATCCAGCCAAGTACAAAGTACCGAAGTTGTTGGATATTCTTTTACCACATGGATTAGGAGAGAAAGCTTTAGAACATATTAAAGGCCCCAGAGAAATTATGGAGCAGCTTCGAATAGTGTTGATTTCTACAAGGTAACCTTAGGAACCGCTTAATATCGGTTATAGTGACCAAATGGTAGATCCCAACTGAACACCACCTTACTAATATTATAAATGCGAATGTTTAAATGTATGCATGGATGGATAGATGTTTGTTTGAAGGTATTTCTGGAACGGCTCAACGGATCTTGCTGAAGTTTGCCATAGTTGTAGAACACAGGCTACTTACTAAGTTTTAGTTTTAATTCCGCACAGACGGAGTTGCGGGACAGTTAGTAGACAAATAATACAAATAGCCTTATAAACAAGGCAGTATCATCTATACACTATCGGTTAATGCGACTTAATATTTCAAAAAGCTTCGAAGTTGTAAAAGTTTTCTGCTGTTTTACAAGTTATGATTTTTTTTTTTACTTCAGAGCTATATTTGACGAAGGACTTACGAAAAGTAATTACATGGCATTCTTTCATCATCTGCTTTGGTGGGAGGAAGTTCATATAAAGTATAATTTAAAGGTGAGTTTAAGAGTTTAAAAAAAAAAAAATTTTGCAAGACTTATAGTGTACTAATAAAGTACTTCAAACCTTCCTGTAAAATACTATCGATTTCATTTAAACTTAACTGCAACTGATTACTTCTATGCAAAATTTCTTTATGTCCAGATTGAACAAAATCTGTCTATCGTCCTAATGATAAAAAAAATTTGGTAGACACATAAGAAATTCTAGAAACTCTGCAATACAATACAATAGTTACAAGGTTATTTAAATAAAGATCTTAAGATATAATAAATTGTTTCAGAATTATAATATGTTCAGTGTAACAATGGATCGGAGGAAAGGTGCCTACATTTTAGAAGTCCCCGGCTTAGCAGAAAAACGACCCTCTTTGCTGAGAGGTAATTAGTAACCTTTCTTCTCAATTTATCTTTACAGTTAGTAATGAAGTAGCCTATGGTTTATACCAGACTATGTTTAATAACATCTGTTAACAATTTCATCAAGTTCTGTTGCATTCGTTGTGTTATATTTAACTCGTTCACGTACCGACACGTGTTGCCGGTCCAACGGTCAGACATCGACTGACGCTGCCTCTCTCCGGCATGTACTTATGGCGTGTACGTTCGAGACAAACACTACGTTTATGCTTACACTACAAGATCCATTCTAGAGATACCTTCTAACAAACATCTACCCATTTAAACATTCGCATTTATAATATTAGTAAGTAGATGAGATACAACTAAGATGCTGAGGATGCATCGGTTGTCCAGGGCGAGTAAATGTTCATGTTAGTGACAAAATGACAAAATATTCCAGGTGACAGAGTGTACATCAAGCCACGGGACACACCTACACTGAATTTCGAAAGCACCATCAGTAATATTGAATTGAACAACATCATATTGACAAATCTGGACGAGACGTGAGTTTTTTTTAACTAGTTGAACCAGAAATGTGAAGTCGAATATAAAAAAATGTACCTCATACTGCCACTCAAAGTGATTTCAATCTTAAAGAATATATTATTGGAGACAAACTTCCTCTGGCATTTTAAAGACTACTATAATTTCATCAAAATTTGTCCGGTGGATGTACAATAAGGTGTTATACATAGATTTAAATCATAAAGTTGAAGTAGTATTTGTGATAGTCCAAAGATGCCTTTATTATTAAAGGTTAACGCGGACTCGTCAACTTCTCGTCAATAACGCTTCTCCACCTCGACGCTCAAAGTCGCCGAGGGAGCGGGACAAAGATATAAATTTATTAACAAAACATTATATCCTTCTCGCTTGCACGGTCCTTGAGGCGACCAATATCAATTTTATATTTTTATCACGCGTAATAGTCGGTGTTGAGTGGTACAATGCGCGTTAACCTTAATCGTATCATGAATTTATCAGATTTGAACAGCATTACAAAGTGGATGCGTTGTTCGACGTGCGTTTCGTGATGTCTCGTGTGCCCGTTGAACGCATGCATGAAGCCGTCAACTCCATACATCGATCCAAACAGCTGTGCAGAGTGTTCCCGCAAAGTCCTAAACATTATATACCTCCTGCAGACATTACCAAGTAAGTATTCAATGTTCCAATTATAAAAAAAATAACTATATTAGATAAAAAAAATTGTGTGTTTAACACGTTGAGTGCCATTGACTTTACATCATCATCATCAGCTCACTATACGTCCCCACCGAGGGGCTCGGAGCCTACCCTAAGCTAAGGGTGATTAGGCCATAGTCAACCACGCTGGCCAAGTGCGGGTTGGTTGACTTCACACATATCTTTGAATTTCTTCTCATATATGTGCAGGTTACATCGCGATGTTTTCCTTCACCGTAAGAACGTTGAATAAATGTACATATGTAAATCGAAAATCGAAAAACACATTGGTACATGGCGGGATTCGAACCCAGGAACTGCAGATAGCAAGTCAAGTGCTTGACTGCTGAGCCACCGACGCTCTCATATTGAAATTTTAAAAAAACATGTAGTGGTACTGCATGTGTCAAACGATTTAGTGCTATGATTTATTATTTATAAATATTTTATTTATCACAATAGATGTGTTAAGGGAATTCCCCAGAAATACAAAACGTTGATATAATACACGGGAAATCCCCTTCTGATATTTATATTATCTTTTGTCGTAACATGCGAACTAAAATAGATAATAAATTATTTTATTTATTTATTTATTAAAAAGGTACAAAAAGGTTGTATATGCTCGTGTTTAACAAAGACGAACATATATAAATAACACACAGATGATACAAACATAGGAACATACAGACAGACAACATTCACTAGACTAGGTTTGGATATATTGTATACAAATTTAGATGACAATAATATACTAAAATATAAAATAGCAAAATAATAATAGAAAAACCAAAACAATAAAAGTAAATTTAACAGTATCATTGGTGGTAAATTAAACCAATATTTAATACTAGCTGTCGCCTGCGACTCCGTCCGCAGGTAATTAAAAAAAACATAATTATTATGTGTTCTTTGAGACTATGTTCTACATCTATGCCAAGTTTCAGCAAGATCCATTCAGCCGTTTATATGGGAAAAAGAAAAGAACTGTTTTTAGGGTTTTCCCGGCAGTTATTCGATTATTCGTTATTTCGATAGTTCATTATTTTTCTCAGCTTTTAAACCATCCCTAGACCTTCACGAACATTTCAAGACCAAGATAAGATAAATCCGTTCAGTTGTTCTCGTGTTATAGCGAGACTAACGAACAGCGATTGCTATATATTATATATAAGATAGAAGATGATTAATGGCATTATTTATTATTAAATTACAGATTCTACAATAAATGGATAGAAAGTAACAAAGAGCAAAGATCGGCCGTGGAACATATAGTGGCTGGTACATCGGGCAAAGCTCCTTATATTGTATTTGGACCTCCGGGCACTGGCAAAACTATGACAATCGTTGAAGCTATCATACAAGTAAGTCTACTGTTTATTGACTATGCGTTTGCACTCAGAGTTTGATGATGACACTTAGTGGAGGTTTTGTATGAGAAATCTTTTCCTTTAGTGGGTAAGTATGAAAGATGTTCAATGTCACCTATTGGCCTGTCACGACCATACAAAAAGGACATTGTGGCATTGAAAGTGTTAATTATTTTACGGTAATGTTTTTAATGTTTACTATTCTTCTATATATTTAATTTAATAGAAAATCGTGCTATAAGGTTTAACATTTATTTCTCAGCTTGTAGTTCGTGATTCAAGGAACAGAATAATGGTTTGCACAGATTCCAACATGGCCGCCGACCACATTGCTTTAATGCTTTTTAAATATAACAAAGAATTAAATATAAATAATTTTCTGCTACGCGGCTGCTCAAGATCACGCGAATGGTACGTATTCCACTAATTTTTTGTATATATTTGACTACAACACTTCACAACTTAAACATTTGCACCATAGACAAGCTGCACATTTTATCTTAAAACGTACATAACATAACCTATACATATTATGCAATATCATCTAACCTTATCTCACATTTTTTACATTACTAAAAAAAAAATAACGCAATGGCTGCCATGTATGGAATTTGACATTTCTCTGTTTACATAATTTAAGTGTCCAATTAAATTGAGAAATAGTTACATATTGGGTTTTATTTTTAACCTTTTAATACTTGGATTATTATTAAATATAAGTTTGTCTGAAATGTCTTAGCAAACCAAAGTTTGGACGATACGCATAGCCGTCACCCCGCATCGTGTAACTCTTACACCTAAAATTGTGCCGTAGCAACTCGTGCGAAGTTCCGAGCTCTCAAGATATTTGAAAACGTGTATACTTTATGTAACAGGAGTACAATGCCGCAAGAACTGGCGCGTGTCTCCAACGGCGACAGTTACGAAACATTCCATTCCCTGAGAAACGCCTACGTCTCTCAGTACAGAGTGTTTGTTACCACCTTACTTCATGCCGCTAAATATGGATCGTAAGTATTTTTATGTCAACTACTAGTTGCCCGCAACTTTGTCTGTGTGAAATTAAAAAAAATAGTTATAAATACAGCTTATTTCCCTTCATATCGGTTCAGTAGTTTTGGAGACTATTCAATGCTAAGAAACAAAAATGAAATCTGTCCTCTGTGCTATACTAGCTGTAGCCTGAGACTCCGTCCGCGCGAAACTAAAAAAAATATAAGTATTCTATGTGTTCTTCCAGACTGCGTTCTAGGTTTATGCCAAATTTTATCGCGATCCGTTGAGCCGTCCTGAAGATACCTTTAAACATCCATCCATCCATACATCTAAACATTCGCATTTATACTATTAGTAAGATTAGTATGGATAGATGAATGGCATGTATTGACGGAACAGAGTCTTAGAAACCTACAATAAGTATTTAATCTACAATAATGGCGTCCTTTATAATAGTAAGTGTAGTAATACAAAATTACCTTAAAAATAAAGTAATATACAGATGTTGTGACGTTGTTAGGGAGAAAAGTCAGGCGATGTTCAAGTTGCAAATGACGCACCTGTTCATCGACGAGGCGGCGCAGGCCTCGGAGCCGGCCACGCTGGTGCCGGTGACGGGCCTGCTGGCGCACACCGGACACCTCGTGCTGGCAGGAGACCCGCAGCAGCTGGGACCTGTCTGCATCTCCAGGGACGCCAAGGATAGAGGACTGGGTACACTATGGTTTTAATAAATAATACAATTATAAAATTTACAATTTATTAAATTTTTTAATATCTATTTATCAAGTTAGTAATTCTTCTCAAATCTTAATGGTTTTTTTATCTTTCAAACTGGTTAACACTTTAATAAAGAAAAACTGCTTACGACTAATATTTATACTAAACTAGCGGTAGCACGCGACTCTCACTTTATTAGTAGCCTATGTGATCTTCCAGACTATGTATGCCAAATTTCATCTAGATCCGTTCAGCCGTTCAAACAAACATCCATCCATCTAAACATTCACATTTATAATATTTGTAAGATAATAAATTTTGTACATCATAATCATTCTATGTGTAGTACCCGGCACTTGAGTTGGCACGTCTGGTACAGGAGTACACAAGATCTCACGTGCCAACTCAATTCCCAAGCAGTAGCCATGCTTTTGTCCTTTTAGTAATATTGTTTTTATCAAAACCTTGTTATGTATGTATAAAATTTTCCAGGTCTATCATTATTACAGCGATTAAAGAAAACTTTTGACAATTTTTACACCGATGATCCGACCTACATAACGATGCTCGTTAAGAATTTCCGCTCACATCCCGATATTCTGGCAATACCGAATGAGTTGTTTTACGAGAACAACTTACAGGTAATTAACTCACCATGTTGAATTATTTATCACTTTTTACACGTGACCATAATTCGAGAACCTTTTAACTTGTTAGACAACATGAAAAAGTATGTTTAAGAAAGGGGAAGAATCTTTTTAGGGTTCCGCACCTCGAAAGGGAAAAATACGGAACCCTTATAGGATCACCTTGTTGTCCATCCGTCTGTCTGTCAAGACCCTTTTTCTCAGGAAGGAGTGAAAGTATCAAGCTGGAATTTATATCAAATACTCAGGTCTGCTGTCCCAAGCCAACGCAATCAAAAGATACAACCGTTTATGTCGGAATATACGTAGTTTTTTTTCTTCTAGTAAAAGCAAAACGCGCATCCGGACATTTAAATTCGCTAACAATAGCTAAGCAACCACTCATAGACATGCATATGCAGATACATTGCCAAACTTCCTTCTTTCCTATTCCAAATTCACCTCCCCTTCCCATCTCATATAAAAGTGTAAAGGGGAAGAAGTCTAAAATTAGTCCCATTTGTATAGAGATGTTATTGCCGGCTCTATCACTTAAACATGTATTAATATTCGTTTTTATAGAATTTATTTAAATACCTAGTACTTAATGCTTTCTTCCAGACTATGTTATGTCTATATGTATGCCAAATTATATCGAGATCCGTTCAGCCGTTCTGGAGATACATCCATCCATCCATCTAAACATTCACATTTATAGTATTAGTAAGATGTTTAAGGGATAAGATGATGATTACCATTTAATATTGATTTAATGATGGTTATAGGCTTTGGCACAGTTGGATCCATTGAGCGAGAAGAGCATACTGAACACTAAGGGCGGCGAGCACGCTGTTGTGTTCCATGCTGTTAACTCTAAAGAACAAAGAATGGGAAAAGCGCCAAGGTAATGTATCTACATTACAAAACATGATAGTTTGTATGTAATACTGAAAAAAAAAATATTTCGTATACATAGTGTATTTGTTTGCTTGATAATGAAACATATATTTTTTTTTATTTTTGTATATATTTTTATTCGAAAATCCGTCTTTGTTTCGAATTCATAACTTCCGAAACAGCTTGACTGATTTTTATAATACTTTGACTGAATGTGACTGATGCGTGTAGACATATTGACTCTCATCAACATGTCGATTTTATCTAATAAAATGTTAACATGTAGTTTTTAACTTAGGGTAGGCTCCGAGCCCCTCGGTGGGGATGTATAGATTTTAGATATAGATTTAACAATTTTTTATTCCCTATGCATAAGGTTGTATGTTGGTTTTTTTTATAGTTTCTACAATGAAAAAGAGTTGGAAATGCTAAAGAAATACGTGAGAGCTTTGGTAAATGTACATCATGTGATGCACAAAGATATTGGAATTATTGCACCATATGTAAGACAGGTAAGTCCTAACTTATAAATCAAATAACTAGATTGCTTACCAACCCAAAAATATATGTTAGTAGTTTGTAATACCATATAAAACAACAAAAAATGTCATAAAGTTAAGAACATCCCTAATTTTGTATTGAAATATATTTTGTCTCTGTTGTTTTCAAAGAGAACGAAAAGGATGACAATATGTGTACATAGATTTTTTTTGAGTTTTCATTATTTTTTAACACCATGTATCATTGTAGTCGAAAAAGTCTTTAATAGTTAATTTTTGTTATTGCAGGTTTATAAAATGAAAGAATGGCTGACTTCGTCAAACTACAAAGAGATAGAGGTGGGCACTGTGGAGTCCTTCCAGGGCAAGGAGAAGAGAGTCATACTGGTGTCCACGGTCAGAGCCAACTGCAGGCTCTTAGACTATGATGCAAAGTATGGACTCGGATTCTTAATTGATGAAAAGGTAGAATAATTTATATTATCTATACTAAGATATTTAGTTTTTTTTTCATTGTGATTTTACAATAAAATATAAGACAGTTAACTAAGTTAATTTGGTCTAAGACGCGCAAATATTTTTTTTTACAATTCCTATGTGTCTGTTTTAGCTTTTTAACAGTGGTAGAGCCCACTTTAAAATCTTTGCACGACTTGTCCCGGCTTGCCCGGTGAAATACCACGACCACACAGAAGACAGGCGTCAAGTGGAAGCAATTCCGCGTTTCGTCTGATGAGTGTGCGTCCCAGAGGCCTAATTTAGTTCTCTTTCCCTTCCCACCCTTTTTCTCATAAGGAAAGGATGGGAAGTGGAAGTGGACTTTCCGGATGAGAGCATGCATGGGAAGAGAAAATATTTTCTTTCTGTGCATCCTCTAATCCGTCGATTAAAGATAGGCAACGCATATGCAATTGCATATATCTATGGGCAACGGTCATTTCGCTATTTTTGGGATTTCAGGTGGCCGCTCGCTCGTTTGCCACCTTATGATATATAAAAAAAGTTATATGTTAACTTTTTGGCCTTCAAAGAGGTTGAATACTTTTTTAACATTAGAATTGACTATATACATATGTTCAGTTCTTGAGTTAGTCTCCAATATTCCAATAATAATTATTATTGTAATCAATATCTAAAGTTCTAATCATTTTAAAATTCGATTCTTTCTTTCGATTAGATTTCTTTGAAAATTAGATAGGGTTACTGGTTTTTTTTAAAGAAAAATTAACTTATTTTACAGAGATACAACGTGGCATTGACCCGGGCGAAGGCGAAGCTGATTATTATCGGCAACCCGGCTTGTTTGTCACGTGACAGCAAATGGAGGAAATATATGGCATTCTGTACTGAATTGAATAGTTACCTCGGCAAAGAGAATCAACAGATGGAGCGGTCGGCACAAATGCTCGTGGAAATCACACGAACAAGATTCGATAGAGCCCGTATTAGTGAGGAATTAAGAATTAATAACCAAAACCCCTATTAATTGTAGAAAAAACTTAGATTTAAGGATGTTTTTTAGATTAGAATTTACAGTACTCTTCTTACGATTTTTTTTTCTATCTTTGATTTTCAAAGGAGTTTCTATATCTTTATTTTATACTATTTACACTAATTTTTTTAGAAGTTTTTAACACATCAATTTTGACATGTTAACTTATGTTTCTTTATTTATAGATTTTGTTGAACCGCCTTTTAAATAAAAACTAAATAGATTGTAAAAGATTTCAATTAGAATTAAATTTAATGACAAAGATCAATTAGATTTGTTACAAATTTGTCATAGATTAAAAACTAAAGTATATAACTAAGAATTCTAAAACGCATTTGCATCTTAGAGGCACAATGAATATTTTAAAATTATTTTTAAGTCTACTGTAACCCGTGCACATTAATTGTTAATTTGCATTTTATAATATATGTTACATGACATTTTTTACAGTACAGTTAAAGTTGTGATATAGGTTAATATAAGCAAAAGTTTATCATTTATGCGTAAATACATATATGTAAAAAATATAATTATGTCCTTTTAAATATAAAAGTACAGTAATAACAATTCGATTGTCTTTAAAGATATTGTTAACCTCTTTGGTACGGATTTATTTGAGAAAATATTTGCATGTGGAACGGAAATATTTTTTGGTTGCTCGGAGTAGTATGTAAGGGCAGTATATTTTATGTAAAAGTAAATGACGTGTCTCAGACGTCAAATGTACCCAAAGGGTTGACAGTCCTTCAATAATATTATTATAATTATATATATTTTTTGATACTGTCTGGCTGGTACTGGCAAACAGGGTAACCTGGCTTAGGCCAGGGTAGTCTGGCTGGTACTGGCAACCAGAGCATTTTTGGTACTAGCAACCAGGGTA